GGAAGGGGAGGTGAAGCAGCAGCGCACCGCCCCAAGCTTCCCTTTTCCGGCTGTTCCGGGAGAAGGAAAAAGCCGAACCAAAGCAAACCCCAATCGGAACCCCCCCACCAGGCAGGGTAGGGTGCGTCCTGCAGCCCCAGACTGCGGAGCAGAACGCGTCGGTGCCTTCCCACCTGCCTGCAGAGCTGCGGGTGACTGCCCCGGGCCCGGCGCGGGGTATCCAGGGTGCCCGAGAGAGCCCGGGTGCCTAAAAGTGAGGGGGGACTGCAGTGTGGACGAGGTTTTGTCTGCTTGTCCAGCGATGGGCAAAGCTCCCTCGTAGCCGCATTCGTGTTCACCCAGTCCATGGCAGTCCTGTGCCAGAGGCGGGGGTATGTGGTGCAGCTGAGAATTTGGGGCTGGCTTTTCGTGTGGCATGAGCTACAACTCTGGGCAGCCTACAGGCCCCTTCTAGCTTTGGTCAGTGATTGCAGTATAGCTCTTTTATGGAAGATACAGAGGATTTCTATAATCTTCAAATTATGAGCACAGCTAGTGTAACAGAAAAAGGAGTCTTCTGCTGTACAAGTTATGGAACAGTGGGAGATTGAAAACATCTTGTAAAAAAAATGTTTTGCTTTTTTTTTCAGTTGGGCAAAATGTAGAGAGATGTTTGTAACTATCTCCAAAGCTAAACTCTTTTCAAGTGCTGAAACTGGCTTTCTCCATGTAAATGGTGCTGCATGATTTATTCAAGTTGCCAATGGACTTATCTCCCATGGATATTCAACCATACAGAAAGAGCACTCCTCCAGCCACATCCCTGAGCTGAGGGGCTTCAGTTCCTCTTGGTAACAGAAAGCACAAACCATCAGAGGCCTGTGCTTTCTGCAAAATGCAGTTTTCTCCAGCTGCATTTCAAATTTCCCCGTCTTCATGAATTAGCCTAACGGTCAGAAAGTGGAGAGCAGTTTAATTCCCTTGTTGGCCTAAGTGGTTTAGTTAAGAAATCTCAGGTCTCCATGAAAACGTGCCACAACCAATGCGGGTCCAAGCTATACTGGACGGGGTAATGGGCTATGAAGTTCAAGTTTCACTGGGGTTCCCCAAGAGGGGAAGCAGGAAAGCTGGGAGAAATCCACAGCTGCTGGACCTGCTGAATTCACCTGGGGCTCAGCTGAGATGCTGCTCGCTAGGCTGTTGTTTCTTGCAGCCATGGCTCCATCTACTCTACCAGTGTCATGCATGCTCACCCTTTCTGACACAGGAAAAGCTTTCTCACTGCTGCCATCTCCTCTCCCTGCACTGCTGCTTCCCCTGCGTCAATTCTAAGTGGCTCCCTGAAAACTAGAATGGAAAAATGTGCTGGAAAGTAGGATGTGCACAAGGAAACAACAACAACAAAATTGCCAAGTACTGGTTGCTGGCTGAGCATTCACTTAAGGTACGGAAAACACGAGTTCTCTCAGGACTGTTTCTGTATTTCACCTTAAAAGCCATTAGGACCTGCCTTCTCTGTCTCCCATTCACAAATTGTTCTGAGTCTCATGAGATGTATAATTCTTTGTTACTACACAGGGAGTTTGGATTTTTACAAACATCTAATATTTACTTGTAAGTCTAAACTTTAGAACCAAAATTCTGTCGGATTTTTGCTTTTCAATTCTTAAAATTATGTGCAGACTGGATTTTTCCTGGTGCTCATGAGAGCTCGCTCCCATAATTGTGATAACCAAGGCCATGAGCTCATATATTTAAAAACTGAAACAATAAAACCTGTTTTAGTAGTGGGTTGCCACTACATTTTGTCAAGGACAGACATAAGATAAGCACTATAAAATAGACATAACACTTCTCAAGTGAAAACACTTTACACAATTCTCTTATTTAAGCTTATACTTCGTAAGTCCTGTATTTACTACAGGAGCCTTTTTCTCAGTTAAAAATCTGATTCGGTACCTTTCCTGCCAAGCCTAGAAACCATTTTAAGTCCTATATTATTTGCCTGTGTTTGTGTACACACACATTCAGGGTATTATTAAAGTTAAAAGCTGTGTAAGTTCAAACTAAAGTACAACTGAAACGCCTTTACTGTTGAATTAATCTGAGTTCATATAAATCAACTATACTGAATATTCAGACAAGGGAAACAGTTACAGAAGATAAATACAGACACCCACCTCCAGGAGAATACTGCCATTGCCAGATGAACAATCTGGTAACAGCACCATGATGTTCACTTTGTTTCGGTGATGAGCTGGAGATATATCCTATTTTACATCCCTGAGACAGCCCGCATCCCTCTCTCCAGATGTGGCTCAATCTTTTTTCTGATTTTCTCTACCTTTTCTCTTGCTACGCAAATAAGGAGGAACAGATTATTACTGAAGTGAATCAGAATAAAGCATAATTCCAATTACTCTTAACCCCCCCCCCAGAATAATGACTACTCCAGTAGTGCAGAAACCATTAAATGCCTTACTTTAAAAGAAATAAAGAAAACATTTAGCACAGCTGTTTGATCTTGTTCTCTCCAGCTCAACTTTGTTTTTTCCACTGTTTATTTGTGATAAGACTTAGGATAAAATCCTGTTCCCACTGACTGAGAAGGTCTGGAATTCAGTTTTTGTTTAAGTGCAAAACAGATGGGTGACATTTTATCAGCATGACAAACATTTCAAATGTTAGGTTTTGGTTTTTTTTAACAATACAGCTCAGATCAAGGGCTTGGAAAAATACTATGGGAAAGGGGAAGAGAAAGCAAAACTTTATTGATATAAACTCTTCCACCTAAAAATATGTATCATATTCTGAACAAAAGATTTCAATCATGTGAACCATGGGTGCAAAGTCTTTAAAAAAATTAAATGCATTAAGTATGGACACAGCAAAAACCCCAAACCTTTTGCTTATAAACTCTATGTATAAGCCCATGTCAAGAACTAAACAGTATGATTTTCTGTAAATGTATGAATGGAATGTGATCATCATATTTTAAGTAATTCTAACATGTTCCTTCTTACAGAAGGAAAAGTAATGTATGACAAAGGCAGATCATATTTTGAGTCAAACAGACCGGAATTTTTGCAACACTAAAATGAAAAAGTGTACGTATTTTTAATGTGCACTTAAGTGAGACAAAAATGTAACTGAGACAGATGCAGCTATTTTTATCATTTTAGCTGGCTTTTTCAGAGCTATTTAAAAAATGTATGCTATTGTTAATAGAAAAATATAAACATTACATATCATGAATTTATTTTTGCCTCATTCACTTAGGAAAAGTTGCCATCTCTTTTGCTAGTTCCCAGAACAACCAGGCAATTTATTAGGGTTAAAACATCCATTGCTTTTAAACAACAGATCAGTACAGAGGTATATGTCTTGTCAGAGGTTTATACATCCTTATGAAAACTACAGCAACGCCAGCATTTACTTTTTATTCAGGAGAGAAAAAAGTAGCTGCCTTCATGCTGAGCTATTCCATTTCTTTTTCTTCTTTTGCAGTGGAGCTTCCAATTTTTGCTTCTCTGGAGTAATTTTTCTCTTTCTTTTTGCTGTTTTATCATTTTTATCAGCCCAACACACCTTGTTTTTCTTGACTATTGATGATTTTTCATCTTCATTTGCTGAAAAAAGCAAGAAATTATTCATATTAATATTTGTCCCATCTTCATAGTCTAAGGTGGCACAGAGATCTTTTTGTATCTCATTTTAAAAAACAGGTTATAAATTATTTTTATTTACAGTAAATGTGCCATTTATGCTAGTTTTGCCTGTGATATGAAAATATCTAAAGATCAAGTACGTAAATACATTACAATAGGAAAACAATGGCAAAAAAAAAAAAACCTGAGCCAGCCTTCCTATGTTTGCCCAACTACAATGGCCTCGGAGCTAATTTTGTTTATGGGAAAACAAGACACGCAGTTCTATCAAACTGTTTATTCTTTTCTTAACTGCCTCAAAAGCTTCACAGTGGCTTCCTCTGTATGTTATTCCAGTAAAGAGAAACAAAACTTTCCTGTAATAAAAGTGAAAATAGGCTTATATCCTCCAGCATACATGCAGGCTTGAGACATGATCATATTGGTAAGGATATATGTATCACTTGTCAGCGTCATACCCAAATTCTTCAAGATACCAAAACTTTTTCCAATGCATTTAGTATATTATATTTCACAGTCACATTATCAACCAAAAATACACACAGTTCTGTTACCCTGAGATGTTGTTGCAGCTTTAGAAGAGTTTTGTTTAATTTCTGAAGCTCGGTCAAGCCATACTGCAAGACATGTCAGCCTAGCTTTGGTATTGACTTCACACAGTAAAGATGGCACATCTTGAATCTGAAGAGAATACAGAAAAAGATTAATTAAACATTATTTTATTTCTGTTTAAATTTACTGAAGTAGCTGAGGTGAGAAAGTATCTTATCGCCCACCTTCGACTTCATTTCTGGTGCCCAAAAATGTTTACAACTAGAGGCTGTTAATAGTCACAGCCCTGTTCCTAATACCCTTCCTCAGTGATGGCTTTACAAAAATCTCCCAGTGGCTTTAAGAACGTGTCTTGATAAGCAGGATCAGTGGGCTTCAGGCACATGGGGTTTAATGTTTAACATGAGGAATAACTAGATCAGTCATAGAGCCACACAAAAAAAGCTGTTAATGGCTTCAGAAGTTTCTCCAGAGCAGTAGGTATTTTCTGGTACAGCTAAAATAATTTGAATTAAGTTAATGTATCAGATTCCTTTTCTCCCTCACAAAGACAAGGCTGCCGATAAAAGTAAACTCTTCAGAGTGTGTTTCAAATTGCTTAACTGCAATTGTATAATTTGAAAATACAGGAAATAAAAGTACCCAGTGCATTACTGTGTTTGAATTTTTCAAAAGGACAACTTCTTCCCCTTGCATGAACAACCACCCCCCCCCCCCCCCCAAACCATAGAGTTTCTGTTTTTAAGAGTAGCAACAGTCATAAACAGTACAAAAATTCACAGCAATCAGAACATACATAACTGATTAGACAGTCGTAAGTCTGGGCAGGTGGGTCTGAAGGGAAGCATGACTTTACATACAGAGGAGATGAGATCTCCATAGTATCATCAGATTTTATTGTTTCTTTAATAAAAATTACAAAGATATAAAAATACGTAAGTGCAAAAAAATACATGCATAGACAATACAGACAGTACTGAACATGGGGGAAGATCAAGACATCCAGATTTCAAGTAAAATTTCCTTGGTGATTTTAAATCAATCTTTCTAACAGATCTGTCTGCAATTTTGGTTGTCTGGTATTTTTCCAGAAACATAACAAGCAGTTTAATAAACCAACCTTATTAAGATCCACACTCCACATTTTAATGTAACCATCACTGGATGCAGTAACAATAACATGTTGTCCTTCTTTTTCAAAACTATAGAGATCTTTTATTCTGTGAAGAAAATGTAATACTTTGTTAATTTATAGCATGGCATCTCACTTCAGAACAGTAAGCTGACAGAAATTAAAGATGAATAGGCAACAGTCTAAAAACCAGTTTGAACAGAAAACCCACAAATGACAGGCAGGAACTTGGAACGATAATCTGTTCTGTGTGCTGTCATTTACAGTACGAACACTTGCCTTTGCTAGGCTTGTTACGATTCAATTCAAAACACTTTAATACTTTTAATCACACACTATTCACCACATCAATGACATTTTAGCTAATACTTTTGTGTTTTGATGAATTAAAAGCAGCATTTGGACAAGGGTTTGGTATTCAACAACAGAGGATATGTGATTACCCTCCTATTGTCTGGACTGCATACAACTCATTAAGCATTAAAGAGTCAGATTCTGTAAAGACTAATCAAACATTCTTCAGATGGTCTTGCAGGAAAATAGCAGCACCCAGGTTCAGAAATGCATAGACCACACACACAGAGGTGTGTACCTCTGTTTTCACACCCCCACCCATAAATGTAGAACTGTAATACTTCTAATTCTATACCCTGTTTTTGTAACTGTGCATGGGTAGCATGCTAAAAGTGAACAAGTCTTAGCACATAAATAAATTCACTTTCTATACTAAAACAAAACCAAAATCGGTACAATATACTGAACATTACAAGCCATTGAACTTTACTGAGTACTCAGCATTGCCATAAATATTTAAATAGTAAACAAATACAGAATACCTGTTTTCATGAGCTTTAAACTCACACAGGCATTTTTGAGAGTCACAGCTGTAGAACCTTACGATTTCATCATCTCCAGCTATGGCAAAGATAGAATCCTTGGAACGGGAAAAAAAGAAATGCAAGTGTGATTAATTTCATGTGTTTCAAACCAGTTAATTTCCCAGCATCTTTCTGTTTCGTACTTACTGTAATAAATCTGAGTGAAGAAATTCTCTTCTCTGTTGTGATAGTGCCAGTGATTGAAGCTGTGTCAAGTTTGTAGATATCCACTTTATTTGTTATCACGGTCACATACCTCTCTCCATCAGGGGACCATTTAATTATGTGGGCATCTGTACACATTGATACATTTGTATACACATGTACACAGATTTTTTGCACTCTATATTGCATGAGAATCTAAAAGTAAGAATCTTTAGAAGCTGCTAGACACTGTTTTCTACCTAAACCTGAGAAAAAATGCAGGAAAAAATCAAATAACCTAGAATAAACAAGTAAAACTATGCTCTTAAACATTTATTTCTGATTATCAGTAGTGTATAAAGAAAAACAAAACACATTTATTTAAATGTCCTGACATGAAATTGCAAGGAAAAAACAATTACTTTAGTGTCACTATGTTTTCCTTTCAGTAAATTATTGACATAAGCTTACATATGCTTGCCTGCATGTGTAAAGAAGACATTGTGAAAGTTGTTTGCAATTAACTGACTTACTGATGAATTCAGTCTACTTTACACAAAAAGTAAAACTACCTAATTTTACTTTTTTAGTGGATTTAGACTGATAAACTCACTTTGCTTCAGGTTTTTGATAAAGGCTGATCGTCCTTCTACAAGATTCCAAGTTCTGAAAGACAACAATAGATAATGTGCATTCTGGTTATAAACAGCAGAGTGAAACTGAAATCCTGTCTGCTGACATGAGGCATCCAAAGGAAGCTTTTAAGCATCTCTGTGCATTTCACTGCTGCCTTAATCCAAGAGAAAATGATGACTTCACATATCACTGGCACACTGTAAGGTCGAACTTGTGATATTTATTTTATAAAGCACCGTTTGCAATGCAGAGCCCAAAAGAAGCCGAATAACAATTTGTGCTGTTAAAACAGCATTTTATGTATTTAAAACACATATACACAGCAACACATATGCACTCTGAGTGAAAAATTGCGTTTCTCACACTAAACAGAACCAGACAGCTTTCAGAAGTTTAAACAAATCGCGTTCCAAAAGGCAAATGAATTTATACACCTACAAGTGACTACAAAAAGTCAGAGCACATCAAGAAGCTAGGAACAGGATTATTTTTAAGACTTTAAAACATTGCTGGCACCTAGAACTTACGAAGACAAACCAATGGATCTTTGAACCGTTTGATGTCCAAGTATGTTTTATCAGTGTTGTAGAGTCTAGTCTCAACATGGAATTGTGGCTTATAACAACTTACTAAGAGTTACTGGATTATGATTCTCAGCATTCCTTCACCAGTTTCAACTCACCTTAATGTTTTATCTGTTCCTACTGATAAAGCTAATTTCCCAGAAGGATGAATAGAAAGAGATGTCACGTGCCCCCTGATAAAAAACCAAACCAACGTATTAGCCACATATATTATTTACAAGGAAAATAAACATGAAAATGTATGTGAATATACAGTTTTAAGAAACTCACTTATGTGCTTTAATAGATTTCAGGCATTCCCACCTCTTCGTGTTCCAGATACAAATTAGTCCATCTTCAGCCCCACTCAGTAGATGCGCAGTACTGTAGAACTCCAAACAAGTTACTGTGCCTAGAAACAAACCATGTTCAGTCTAGCTCCAGGTACTTCTTGGTTATCAGGAGAAAAAGGATAATCAAGGTTGAGCTACAAATGACCCGAACACGTTTATATGGACGGCCATCAACTGATGTATCACACAGCTGTAATTCAGGAGGCACATAAAGTGGAAAAGATGGTTGTTGGGAGTAGGGATTGTTTAGATAAACTGTCCTGGTAGAATAAAAACGGCTTACAAGCCATTTGTGGGCCATAACTTCTTAAATAGTTAGAACTAAAAATAATTGGAAGAAGCAGCTATATTTATGGGCTAATACCCAAAGTGATTTTTGGATTTTTACGCTGAAAAGCTTACCTTGCTTGTATCATCAGACCATCATGGCTCCAACGCCATCACTATTAAAGACTTATTTAAAAAAAAAAATTCAATTTTCGTCTTCTAGTAAGGGCCAGTTTTTCAGCTATAAGTTTCTACCATTAATGCTTTTTACAAAGAAAAACTCCCTTACCATTGTGCTGCAGGAGTGCCCCATGTTCTATCTTCTTTTTCATGTCATAGATTTGGATTGTTTCATCTCTGCTCCCAGTGACCACATATCTGTTACTCACTGCTACTGCTGACAATGAGGCAGAGTGGGCATGATGTGTAAAATCAGGGACAATTGTCCAGGACTGTAAATGAAATACAAAATTAACAGCTCTTTCTGAAGCTTGTCATGGTGAGCTTCAACTTCATCATCCTGTAATTGTGAGTTGTTTTTTTTTTTTTAAAAAAAAGTAAAACCTGAAAAAGCATATGTGTAAAATGCAAAGAAAGGAACTATATACTTAGGTATAATGGGATCTTATTGAGTTAATGTGCTGTTGGGAGATTAGTCCAAACGATTTAACTGTGCAAACCACCTCTTGTAATCAGTGCTGGGCTTAGATGAAGCTGTATGGGAAAAAGTATCTGCACAGAGAAAATTCTCATGGATAAGCAAGGCGGGTTCTCCCTTTTTCCACCATTGCAGGCTGCAGACACGCCTTCCACCTGGCACTGGCCCCC